TGGCAATTGTTCATGAAAATATAAATTCATGAAAATATAAATCTATATTTCTAATGTAGCACAGTGATTTAAAATAAATTTTGGTAAATGAAAATATTTTATTTTTTAAAAATGTGTGTTGTGCCTATAATTATATTTGTTTAGGTACTGACCCTCCTTCCACCAAATCTGATACTAAAAAGATTTGTCAGCCTCTAGTCTGCCAGGATGTTGTTTACTAAAGAATAACATTTCTCCATCTTTTCAGTAACTTTGAACTCATGGTAGACAGAACAGTGGGGAATAAGTTTGTAAAATATCTTGCTGAGAGTTAGGAAAGGAAGTCAACAAGCAAAAATGTCACTCTAGGAGATAGGAGCTTTTACTTTTTCATGGTTACCTAAAAAATAAAAATTGCAATCTCCACAATAGTTATTGTTATGATTACAATAGGGCCAGTGTAGGAAAAATTACCTCACATCCTTGTCTTATCTTTGATTCAGAGTGGACTCCGATTGAACTGACTGGACACTGAGAATAAATAAATTGCCTGTTGATAAGTGATAGGCCTAGAGAGATGTCATATACTTTCATGATGAGTAAACAATATCAGAAAAGTATGAAATGTGTTCCTGTTTAAATGTAGGCATTCCTATAATGACTCAAAAGAGAAACATACACGCCCAGCCAGCATGGTTCAGTGGTTGAGTATTGAGAAATGAACCAGGTCTGGATTCAATTCCAGTCAGGGCACATGCCAGGGTTATAGGTTCCATCCCCAGTGTAGGTCATGCAGGAGGCAGCTGACGAATGATTCTCTGTCATCATTTATATTTCTATCACCATCTTCCTTCTTCTCTGAAATCAATAAAAATATATATTAAAAAGATAAACATACATAATTGACTTGATATAATATATAAACAAATCTTTCAGAAATTTTTATTTTGAAATAGTTGGAATAATATAGAAAGTCTTTACCTGCATAAAGTTGTAATAAGTACCCATTATGAAAAAAAAAATAGGTGAAAGGCTAAGGTGTGTGTTTATGTGAAAGGAAACTACTTTATTTCTGTAAAAGAAGGGAAGATAATTTGAAAACCGCAGGGCTGTGTGAAAGGTAAACTGGCAGGAAGGCTTCATACTTGTTTGAGTGATATTCACATTAGTGATACATTAGGCATGATTTTCCAGAGAAATAGAATCCATAAGTATGGAAGCTGAGTGCTCTCAGGATCTGCAGTAGGCAAGCTAGAGATTCAGGAGAGTCAATAGTATAGTTCCATCCCAGTCCAAAGGCCTGAGAACCAGGAGGATTGAAGTGTGAATTCCAGTCTTATTCTGATTTGGAAGGCAGGGGAAGACCAGTTTCTCAGCTCCAAGACCTTAAGGCACAAAGAAAGAACTCTCTCTTATTCAGCCTTTGTGTTCTATTCCAGCCTTCGAAGATTGGGTTGGGTGAAACACACACAGCGGGGAGGGCATTCTGCTTATGAAGTCATTTGGTTCAAATGTTAATCTCCTTCATAAACAGTCCTATAGAAATACCCAGAACAATGTTTAACCAAAATGTTTAACCACCCTGTGGCCTAGTCAAGTTAAAACATAAAAGTAAACATTAAAAGTGATTCATTTGATTAGCCTGATTAAAAAAAGTATGAGAACACAGAAGATAAAAATATTAAAAGTGTCAGAAATAGAGGATTTTTTATTCATACAAATGATATATATCAAGAGTCTACTGTATATCAGCCAATATCTGGACATTAGGAATTATAAGCAACATATCAGATGTAGTTCTTATCCTAATGGTGCTTTACCCTTCAAGTGCCAACCAATATCCTAGAAACTATGCTAAAATTGCCAAGGCATTTTTACTGATTTTACAGCAGTTTAGTAAAAAAATTATGGATCACAAGTAAATGAAGTGAGATATTCAATATCTCCCACAAAATCATCATCTTCACAGTAAGAATTGGCATATTTAGCAATATCATCATCACTAATAAAAGCAGACTTAGAACTGGACACTGCAGGAGGAGTGCCATAGCACTCCCGGCACTTTTGGCGAAAGACAGGAGGAGCGCGATCGCGCTCCCCAGACCTCTAGGGGTTAAGTATAGAAGCTGTGAACAGTATAGACAGCATAAAATTTTACTGAGATTTATAGGAATTAAGGTTTCAAAATGGAGATTCTCAACAACAAATTAATGAAAAAAGGATGAGTTATAGAAAATCACCCATTGAAGGTAGAGACTATATCATCCTATCTAATAAAAGAGAAACATGGTAATTGGCATACGATCGCTACCCTTCCCATTGGCTAATCAGTGAGATATGCAAATTAATTGCCAGCCAAGATGGCGGACAGCAGACA